TTCTGGGGATTGGGGGGGGAGGGGTCCACCCTCACCCCTCTCTCTGCAGTTTGGGCGCACTGAGGTGATCGACAACACCCTGAACCCCGACTTTGTCCGCAAGTTCGTCCTTGACTACTACTTTGAGGAGAAGCAAAACCTCCGCTTCGACGTGTGAGTGGGGTGGCCAGGGAAGAGCTCAGCCCTGGGTTGGGGTGGAACAAAGCACTAATTTGGTAATAAATAAGGATGGTAAATAAGGATGGTAAATAAGGATACAGCAGTGAAAAGCCCATACAGGTGGGGAAGCAGGGCTGTGTGCCGGGCCACCCCCACAGGCACCAGCTCAGGGCTCTGCTCTCCCATCACCAGCTACAACGTGGACTCCAAGAGCTGCTCCGTTTTAAAGCAGGTGAGCGCAGCCCGTGCCGGGGGGACACACAGTGACACCCCAGCGTGACGCCGCGGTGGGGTGCCCTGAGGCTGTGCCCTGTGCGGGTGCTGTTGGGGGGACAGGTGTCCCTCAGGGGGCTCTAACTCACTCTCCATCTCTCTGTGCCCCGTGGGGACTGGCAGAAGGTAGGTGCCCACCATGCACCAGCCCCTGCTTTGCCCCAGGAACTCAGCCCTCGTGGGGGTGCCTGGTGGGGCAGGGTGCAGGATTGGGCCAGGATGCACCACAGGAGTGGCTTTGGGGGTGCAGGATGGGTGTAGGGTGGCCCAAGGGTTGCAGGGCATGTGCGGTGGCTTTGAGGGGGAACAGGGTGGGCCCAGGACTGTGAGGTGGGTCAGGTGGCACCAAATGAGTCCAGAGCACATGGAGTGGGGACCTGGGGTGGTCCTGGGGGTGCAGGGCTGGGTGGCTCTTGGGGCACAGGGTGGGTTCAGGACATTTGGGGTGGCCAGGTGGCAAGGTAACAGCAGGCATCGTGGGCGTGTTGGGAGGGCAGGGGGTGGGTAGACTGTGGCCAGAAGCCCGCAGGGTCTCACGGCGATGTGCTTGGGGCACAGGACTTCCTGGGGCAGGCGTTTGTGGCACTGGGGGAGGTGATTGGGTCCCAGCGAGGCCGCCTGGAGAGAGCCCTCACGTGAGTCACACACCATGGCAGGGGGAGGGGGGAGTCCGACACCGTGTCCCCAGCTACCTGCCTCACAGGTTCCCTCCCTGCACATCCCCTGCTGGGGACACTGACCACGCTGCCGAACAGCAGCTGTGGGGCACAAGCCCTAACCCCACCTCCTGCCCCTGTCCATCCCTTGTCCCTCTGCTGAGCTGGCACCTCTGGTCCCAGGGGGGTCCCAGGGAAGCGGTGCGGGACTATCCTGCTGCTGGCCGAGGAGCTGAGCAACTGCCGGGTGAGTGCCCATGTCCTGGCACTGGTGAGGCAGGGGCTGCACAGCCTACCTTGTGTGGGTGGCTGCTGGGGCCCAGGGCGAGGAGGTGGTCGATGATGACAGTCCCCATCCCTAGGACATCGTCACAATGCAGCTGTGCGCCAACAAGCTGGACAAGAAGGACTTCTTTGGAAAATCCGACCCCTTCCTCGTCTTTTACCGCAGCAACGAGGATGGCACGTGAGCGCGGGGGCCCGGTGGGGCAGGCAGGGTGCCGGCATCACCGTACAGCACGCCCCGACCCTGCCCTGTCCCTGCAGCTTCACCATCTGCCATAAGACGGAGGTGGTGAAGAACACGCTCAACCCGGTGTGGCAGCCCTTCACCATCCCCGTGCGCGCCCTCTGCAATGGTGACTATGACCGGTATGGGGACAGGGACTGGGGCAGCGCAGTGGTGACGAGGACAGGGACGGCCATGGGGCCCCAGCTTCTCCTTCGCGGGTTTTGCCCTGCAGCCACAGGCAGCTCAGAATTGGGTCCTTATTGGTTTTTTCTTTCCTCTTTTGCGACCCAAATTACATAAAGGCATCCCCCTCCTTTCCAGCGCCCCCGTCGTGACCCAAATTTCCCGCTTTCCTCCTGGCAGAGATGCAGGCCAGGCAGGCAGCGCGGCTCTGCCAGTGGCTGCTGGGCTGGGTGCTCGGTGTGGGGTGGGGTACAGGGCT